AGTCATAAGAAGCTCGGGAACCGCGATATTTAAATGTAACGAAACGTTAATAAATTATTTGTAATATAAATTAGAATTAATAAAGACTTTAATAAATTCGTAATTAGTTATCGTGAGTTTTAATAAATTAGAATATAGACAATAAATTAGAATAAAGACAAATAAATTAGAACTATATAAATATGCTACAATAGTATATAAGTAAATTAACATGAGTTGGGTACCGTATTTGCGGTAAGTCTTCTGGCCATACCCTCTTCAATCTTCTTTCGGCAACTGGTTGGATGGATAAATTATTTATCAGTTCTTTGTTGTGATCAGAGGTTGGATTTTTATATTTTATTGAGTGATTCTTTATTATGTCCTTAAGTAATGAGATGTTCAGATCAAGTGTTTGGTTAGATACATACAATGGAAGTTTACTTATTATACGGAGTATTTTGGATTGGAATGTTAGAAGTATCTTCGTATTTGAAGGTTTTGTTAAATAGCCAGTTCATATTTTTTAGTTTAAGATCTAATTGTTTCCGTTTAGTTTTGATGTGCGTTGTCCATGTAAGTTTTTCATCCAGGTACAATCCCAAGTATTTGACAACTGGTTTTATAGTAATGGGAGTATTATTAATATAAACTTGTGGACATGTAGATTTTCTTGTTGTAAAAGTAATTTGTACTGATTTACTAGCATTAACACTGATCTTCCATCGCTTACGCCAGTTTTGTAATTGATCTAAATGATTTTGTTCTTTTTGTGATGCTGCATTAGGGTCGATATCCACTGCCAAGATTCCCATGTCATCGGCAATTGTAGCTAAGAAGGTATCATTGCTGGTTAAAACGTCTGCTGTAAATATCAGATACAGAAATGGACCCAAAACGCTACCCTGAGGTACGCCAGATGGTAATTTCAGTAGCTGTCTTCAATTTTGACTTGGAAGTAGCGGTCAGTAAGATACGATTTTAGTATAAAGTATAGTTGGTCTGTTAGGTGTAATTTTAGTTTGTAGAGGAGACCTTCATGTCATATTTTATCAAATGCCTGTTCTGTATATCCAGAAACACTGCATCGCAAAACTTTTTCTCTTCGAGAGTTGGTTTAATTATATTTACTATTCTGTGGCATTGTTGGATGGTTGAGTGTTCACGTCTAAATCCAAATTGATGTTGTGGTATAATTTCGTTTATGGGAACGACTTGCTCGATTTTATGTAACAGTAGCATTTCTAATACTTGCGACATTATTTGGAGTAGGCTTATAGGGCGATATGCATTTGCTTGCGTTGCCGGCTTACCAGGTTGTGGAATCATAGTAACTTGAGCAAATTTCCATTGTATTGGAAAGTATCTCGGTAGCTTCTGGAGTAATTCTCCTGTTATCAAATCATAGCCAGGAGCTTTCTTAGGATTTAGCATTTTTATTTATTGTCGAATGTCTGTCGGAGTAAATGTTATCAGAGGAAGAGATAGTTGACATGGAGTTTCGACGTATATTCTTATATTATCTTTTTGTTGTTTTTCTGCGTTCATGCGGGACCAGGTCATATGTTTTTCTTAAAGGTAAATTTGTTATTGTCGGTCGTTTAAATTTTTTGTAGTTTTTCATATAGAGTGGTCTTCCTGTGAGAGGTTCGAACATAAAACTCAAAAGAGTCGTTGTTTTTCTTCATGTAATGCTCTATTTAGTCTATAAATTACCCTGTTAATGTACATTGTATTTAGTGGATTTCACGTTTGTACCCATATGGGTCGAGCTCTTTTTTTTCTGCTACCAGTTTTCTTATATGGGGGGGGGTATTATGGTTTTTTTGCACACTTCTTTGGCGGTGTGGTATTGCTTCCCATCCTGTTTGTAAAATTGTTGTTAAATAGTCTATTGCTTTCTTTACATCTTGGTTTTCATTTATCCTAATATCTAGTCTAATTTTTGTATTTACAGAATTTTGGAAAACATCGCAGTTTGTTTATTTAGTTGTGAGTTTGGGTGGTGGTGTTCTCCATAGTATGTGTGTACTTAAAGTTATTATTATCGTACTGTGATCTGATGTTAAGTTGAAGTTTGACTCTATTGCACTATGGATGTCAGATATCCCTTTTGTTACAGCAACTACGTAATAGTGTACTTTATGCCCGCGCAGGTATAAAGTGTACTTTATAGCCCGCACGGGCGTGAAGATACAAACGAAAAGATAACTTATTAGAAACATCTTTATTTAACAACATTTCAAATTGGCAATGTTAATATTCTTAGTTACGATTAAAGCCTTCTTTACCATTGAATATTTGGACCACAGGGAATTCTGAGAAAATGTTTCAGCAAAATCGGCAAAGTATACAAGTAGCAACAGTTTCACTAATGTGTTCTACATGGTTTTCTGTCATCCAGTGCTGTAATTTTTCATATTCCTTGTCGTAGGCATCTCTTGACTTATGTGGTAGTAGGTATTGCGTTGCTTTTTTCTCTTTTGTTTTTAAAATCAAAAGTATCTTGCATTTTCACGGTTTTAGTTTGACACGTTTGACAGCATTTCCGTAGCGTAGCAACATAACACGGACGATAGAATGTCTGCAAGTAAATATATTGTGAAAATAAAATCGAATTTCTCGAGACCCTCGGGTTTGTAATATCGTCGCCCTCTGGGCATAAACATCTATTTAATACCCTTAATCAATAACTATTAAACAACTTTTTATTTCACCTCGACAACGACTGGATTGATTTGGCTAATTGTGATTTTGAAATATTTGTATAAAATAAAATAAAATAAATTAAAATATAAAATATAAAATATAAAATAAAATAAAATAAAATAAAATAAAATAAAATAAAATAAAATAAAATAAAATAAAATAAAATAAAATAAAATAAAATAAAATAAAATAAAATTAAATTAAATTAAATAAAATAAAATAAAATAAAATAAAATAAAACAAAATAAAATAAATAAAATAAAATAAAAAGAGGTTTAAATCTTTGTAAGTAGATATATTTAAAAACCCTTAGAAGGGCTACATCAAAAAAACAAGTATGAACCATTTAATTAAAGCAAACGTGATTGAAATGTTGACTAAGGTTAGAAAAGCAAAATGGTTATACTTACAGGTTAACATGCTTGAGCCACCAAAATATTAGGGTAAAACCCTTTACAGAAGTTAAAGTTGCTAAAAAATATGCATATTGTTGTTAAAAATGAATTATGTTTAATATTTTATTAGATTTAACTTCAGGCAACATATAACCATGCCTCCGTGAGTACCAGCCTCCTGATTGACAAGATACCTATGAAAGGTGTCGAAAACAAAATGTCAATGCACCATGGAATAGTATTAGTTGTATATAATATTACTGCAGCCAACCGATTCAAAAGCTTTCTTCTTCTTCTTTAAGTGCCGTCTCCTTTAAGAAGGTTGGCTATCATCACGGCTATCTTCACCTTTGACACTGCTGCTCTAAACAGCTCAACAGAGTTACAATTGTACCACTGCCTCAAAAGCTTTAGTGATGTTAAAAATGATAACAGCAATCCAAGTGTTGGGATTAAAAAAAAATATTTTTAAATTTTGGATATGAAATATGTAAAATTACCGATGAAGGTAAAGGTCATGTTTAAGAGAATAACGTATGCATTAGGCATCCTATGCTACTCTTTATCGTATGGAGTGTGGTCTAAAAGATGTATTTGTGACTGATTAGCTTAAATATATGATATTGCCATTTATATTGATCACATCTAGGACAAGGTAAAATTGAATTGTACATATTTGTAGCTAATATAAGACCTCATTTTTAAATGAAATTGTTTTTGACTGCTTGTATGGTAAAAGGTTTATATAAGTGGGTCCAATAAATTGACTAAAGGTTAAAAATCTTCCGGCTGAAGAAATTAAAATTATAACCTATGGGATTAAATTTAACATGAGAATGCTGAGCTCCTCAGAGACTTGAAAAGAATAAAAGTACAGGAAATGGCTAAAGAGGGGAGGGTTTAAGGAAAAATAAGTGAAATAATCAACAAATTAGAGATAATAGAGATCCCTCATGCTAAAAGCATCTAGCACTCTAAGCAAAATCTATTTTGGTTATATTAAATTCGGTTTATAAAACATGAACTTGATGGATGAGTGTGCTGTATTAAGTTGTTGACTAAGAGAGGGAAGCAGTGGTTGAATAAGGATTTTTTTAATTAATAATTGGGAAGGTGAGACAAGATGACAAGATCACAAGAAGACTATGAGATGACAAGGTCTATTGATAATACTTTCAGATTATCTATTTTGTTTTTTTTTTTTTTCGTATGGAAAGTGTAAAAAAGGCGCAGATAATTGAATTGTTTATAAAGCCAAAAATTGTACTTCATTCTGCATCAATTATATATAAATATACAATTAAAAATTAATATGCTTTTTTAGAAACATGAAAATTTGAGATCTTATGTAGAGAATCAGACTGTACAGCCATTTGAAAATGACCTCTTTTCTCTCAAATGGGATAAACAAATAGAATTGTATTAAAACTACTCGACCGATCGGGACCATATTTTGCAAATATAGTAACTACATAAAAACTCGCATTACTTTTTTTCTTAGGGTAAAATGAATTTCATTAATTTTACAAGCTTCTGCGTAAGGTGAATTTCATTTACTTTTTATTTATCTTCCGTTTTTAAATATTATTAAAATTTTCTCTGGCTAAATATATAGAAAATGATATTTCTGCAAAATTAACCGGAGCTGCTATTATTTTGAAAGTTCAGTAAATAACCTTTCGAATGGACCTCGTACCGTAAAAAAACAAGCTGCATTATAAAAGTTAAATACAACACGTAACATATCCATCCTTATCGTTACTTATCGCACTAGCTTTGTACTATCAAGTCAACAATACGCCTTTAAAAACGTGAGTGACCTAACTGAATACAGTAAACGTTTATAACACAACCAAGAGATATCCTACTGGCCCGGTATTTTGTAGCATATACGGCTTAGCTTAGTTGAAACATCGCGCTAGGAGTTCCAGAGGTCAGTTGATATTCAAAGATCGAACGGGTCAATTGATCACAGTGAATCTTAATTAAATTTTTGTGTGCAGCCGGCAACTCAAGATGACTTTAACTGAAATACTGGGAAAGAAATACAAGCTTGACAAAAGCGAGAATTTCGACGAATATATGAAAAAACTAGGTAAACGATTTCTCTTAACCTTTTTTGTACCCATTAGAAAGGCTGTTTGTTTAATAAATATTGAACAGGTATTACAATTCCTGAATTACTATTATCATTATTGTATCTCTTAATATTTTGTCGCTGTAACTATATTGTAAGATTCATAACGATTATATTTTGTAAATAGGTACTGATCTAGAAATAGCATAACTTATTTTATACTTACAATAATTGTAGTTTACTCCGAAAACGATTCTTAAAAAACTACAAATTTTGACCAAATTTTAGACAGCACGTTTATTGATTACTATTGTATTCTAGTTTTTAGACTACATTTTTTGTTTTTAATAAACAAGGGTAATTCATCTAAAAGAGATTATTTTTATATTCAATAATAGCGAATACATATAAGTAATTTAAATTTCTAGAATATGTGCCTGCGGGCTCTAATATTTTCCATGTTAAACAACTGACTCATTTAAAAATATTTGATTGAATCATAAATATTTATGTTTATACATTATATTATATCAATTCAACGAGTAAACAATTCATTATTATATCAATATGTCATGTATTTATATATGTATATATATATATATATATATATATATATATATATATATATATATATATATATATATATATATATATATATATATTAACATACACAGTGTGCTCCAAAAGTAACGCAAAAAATTCACGATTTTGTCTATGTAAATAAACCAGGCAGCATCGAAGAGCTGAAAAAAATAAAGGGTAAAGAGAAAAAAAAATAGAAAAAAATTATGCATCACAGCTAATGATTAATGAATAGTTAATAGTGGTCACTGTGAACATTTGATTTAATATGTCTTTTCTATATATCAGTTTTCTCTGATTTTTTGCCATTTTCCTCCTAGTTCGTTATTAAAGATTACCTTAAATATTTCATAAAATAATTAGCGAAGGATTCTTCTTAGAGTGCCGTCTCCCTACAGAGGTTGGCAATCATAATGGCTATTTTTATTTTAGAACTTGCTGCTCTAAACAAATCAATCGATCTGCATTGATACCAATCACGTAGATTCTTTAACCATGAGTTCTGCCTTCGGCCAACAGATCTTCTTCCTTGAATCTTTCCCTGTATTATGAGTCTCAAAATTTCATATTTTGGTCCCCTCATCACGTGGCCTAGGTATTCTAGTTTTCTGGTTTTTATAGGGGTGATTAGTTCTGTTTCTTTACCACCCCTTTCCAGTACTTCTTTATTTGTAATTCTATCAATCCATGATATTTTCAATACCCTGGGGTATAACCAGAGTTCGAAGGCCTCGATTCTTTTCAAATTACATTTTTTTAATGTCCAAGTCTCAGCTCCATATAATAATATTGAAAATATATAACAGCGAATGGTACGTAGTCTGATCTCCAAATTTAGATTTTTGCACGTCAGAAGTGCCTTCATTCGTATAAATGCTGATCTGGCAATATATATTCGCCTCTTTATTTCTACAGTATGATCATTGGTTTCATTGATCAAAGTTCCCAAGTACTGATATTTTTCTACTTGTTCTATCACGTTACCATTGATTGTCAATAGGTGATGTATATTTTGTGTTCTTTTTGTAATCAGCATGTACTTCGTTTTTTTAGCGTTTATAGTAATTCCCATCTCAGCACTATTCATACTCAAGCTTTCGATAAGATATTGTAGATCCTCTATACTCTTTGCTATGATCACAGTGTCGTCTGCATATCTTAAGTTGTTAATTAATTTTCCGTTAACGGTGACTCCCGCTTCTACATTATTGAGCTGTTTTGGAAAATTTCTTCAGAATATATAAGTTAATAAAAAGTGGTGATATAACACATCCCTGTCTATCTCCTCTACAGATCTTCATTTCTTCTGAGTGTTGCCCATTAATTTGAACTATGGCACTTTGGTTCCAATATAATGTTTGCACTATATTTATGATTTTACTATCAATGCGCTTGTTCATAAGTATTGATATTAGTTTTTCATGTCTTACTGTATCGAAAGCTTTTTCGTAGTCAACGAAGCACAAGTGTAGATCAACATTTACATCCATACATCGCTGAATCAATATGTTGATGGCAAATAGTCCTTCTCGAGTACCCATTCCATTTCGGAACCCGAACTGCGTCTCGCTAATATCCTCCTCTAGCCTTTCATATATTCTCCTATGTATTATTTTTAGCAGAACTTTTAAAGTATGACTCATGAGGCTCAGTGTTCGATAATCAGAGCACTCTTTTGCTGCTTATTTTTTAGGGATGGTTATAAATGCTGACTTCAGCCACTCTTGTGGTATTATTCCCGTATTGTACACCATGTTGAATAAATCTGCCATTACTTCCAAGTTATCCTCTTCCACTAGTTTTAACAGTTCTACTGGTATTTCATCTAATCCAGCTGCTTTATTGTCTTTAGAGTTTTTGATAGCATATTTGATTTCATCTATCGTCATCTTCTGTCTCTCTAAAGGATTTAATTCTTGTATTTTCTGCATTTCACCTCTTTCAACTTGGAAAAGTTCTCTAACGTACTCCTCCCATCGCCTTAACTTCTTTTCTAAATCTATTATTAGTACTCCCATTTTGTCTTTTATGTGTCCTTGCTGTCTATTTCGACCCATTCCAGTCACTTCTAATTTTTTGTGCATATTTCTCATATCATATTTTGTTTCTAGTTCTTCTATCTCTTTACATTGCTTCATCAAATAGATTTCCTTAGCTCTTTTTGTTGTTGCAGCGTTGTTTTTCTTCATACTTCTGTAGATCTTTTCCCTTATATTTCCTTCTTTCTTCCATCAGTAATAGTATTTCTTCTGTCATCCAGTGTTTTTTAGCCTCTGACCTATGTTGTTTTAAACTTTCTTGAGCTGGTTTCAGTAATGTGTTTTTTATATTATACCACTTTTTATTTACATCCATAATTTGTTCGTTGTGAGTTAGTGTTTTTTGCATATTTACATTCACATTATTTTTTAATTCGTTTTTTATTTCTTCGTTTTGTAGCATTCTTACGTTAATTTTTGGTTGTTGTTTTCTGAGTTCAATTGTTTTTAATTTTTTTTAATTAGTGAAGGATAGCTAAACCCTATAATATCGTTCAAGTTGTCTCAGAAAGGACTATTCTTTATTTCTTCAATGAAATATATGCGCCTTACTGAGCAACATGCTTTACTGAATAAATTGCAGAGAATGTCAAAATGGTTGTATTGGTCAAAGTCAACAGTGGCTGAAACAATGTTTTACTCAACCCAAAAGTAACTGCAACATAAGAAAAAAAACTCTGATAGCTTAGTGGATCAACAACTACAGACAGGATATAACTTTTTGACTAACTATTTTGACTTAAATATTGTAAAAATCTTGGAACAAGTTGACAATTATAAAAATCGGCTCTTCCGAATAATACATATTAATAAAACTCCTGAATCTATCAATTAGATTGACGCCAACCATTTGAGTAATGTCTACTGTAATATTATACATATACATATATATATATATATATATATATATATATATACATATAGCAAAACTGGTAAGATTATCGACCGAAACGTAAAAAACAATTTATTGTGTTGGAATATCGGGTATGCGGTCTGTTATTATTAAAAAAAGACTCTTTTTTCTTTTAATCCTCTATATTTCGCTGATTTTTTGTCAGCTTCATCAGGAGACAACTAAAAATTTGAATAAAAGTTCTAAATATAAAAATCAGTTTGAATAAAAAGTGACTTACAGATTTAGAGTGGAAAGTATTTAAACAAGTTAAACATAATTTGTTCAAAACAGTACTGACAGTTTTTGTTAAAAGTACCTAGGTCACTAGTAATTAAATGTAAAAATATAAAAACAGAGCAAACAAAAACAACGAAACAATTAAAACACAATAAAATTACACATTAAAAATATACAGGGTGATTTAAAATATAATTGTTAACAGAAAAATTATTTAGACATACTAAGAATATTACAGTAGATATTGCTCAACTGTCCCGTGTCTGCCTTGTAATTTACTGTATAGTTTTCTCTATTTATATGACACATTTCCAAAAACAATCTTTTTTTATAATTATTTTCTTGCTGTAAAACCCTGACATTTGAGTAATCAAATTGATGGCCAGTTTTTAAGTGATGGTCAACTGCCGCACATGTGTTCTTCCGTTTTGTGCAGTCACTTTTGTGTTGGGTGACCCTTTGTTTTAGCCATTGAGAAGTTTGGCCAACATAACAGCTCTGGCAATCCAAACAAGGCAGTTTGTAGATAACATTAGTTTTGTTTAAAGTTGATGTCTTGTCTTTTACTTTAGAAAACAGTTGTCGGTTTTCTAATAAATTATAGTGGACAATTTTTATGTTGGTAAATTGTTTAAATAAACTAGTCACAGAAGGTGTTAACTGTTTTATTAATGGTAGTTTTTTATATTGTGTTGTTTGTGCTGCTCCGATATCAGTGGGACCGTCAAAAATGTCAGAGTTAAATATCAATTTTTTAAGGATATGTTTTGGGTATCCATTATTTTGAAAGATGTTTAACAGCAAATTTAAGTTTTGTTTATGAATTTATCGTCACTAATGTGCCTTACCCTATTCTTCATTGCAATGACTGTATTAAACTTTTGGTGAGTAGGATGATTTGAAAAAAAGTTTAATTCTTCCAGATCTTCCAGAGTGTGTTGGCTTTTGATACCAATCTATCAATATTTTGTTTTGTTCTGTTCTTATTATTTTGGTGTCCAGAAATGATATCGAACAATCATTTTCAATCTCTAAAGTAAATTGGATATGTTTATTAAAGTTATTGAAAATGTTTAAGGTATTTTGAATTTGTGAAGTAGGAACAGAACATATAAGATCGTCAGATATATATATATATATATATATATATATATATATATATATATATATATATATATATATATATGTATGTTTGAAGCAACCATTGAAGAAAACCAAGTGGAGAATATAAAAATGTATACGTTACAGAGGGAGGGTATACGAAA